GACTGAGACTGCTCAGAGCCAAGTCCTCTCTGAAGCCTGCCCCTGCTCCCTCTAAGGGGCCTGCAGCCCCAACCTAGCACCCTACCCCTCCCAGGCCACCTTCCAACCACTTGCGGACAAGCTCCCAGCCCAATTATCACAGCCCCTCCCCTCCTGGCAGGGCCTCTCTGTTGTGAGGGTAAGGAGAGCCAAAGTAGCAGCTGCTTTAGGGAGACTCAGCCTGGCTGGGGCAGAGTAGGGGTGGGGGTGGGGGCTGGGCCCTGGCCAGGGGCTGCTGGGGCAGCCCCCAGGCATGCCTCAGGGCCAGGAGCCTGGCACCCTCTCGCCTGAGTGTTGGAGCACTGGCATCCCAGTCCCTCTGCAGATAGGTAAACTGAGGCTCAGAGAAGGTAGTGGCATAACTTAAGGCCCCTCAGCAGAGGCAGAACCCACTCAAAACCACCCCCCCCTTCCCCAGCCCATAGGGACTTACGAGACTGCTGCTGCAGGCAGGGCCGGCAGAGGAGCAGCGGCGGGTGCTGAAGGCAGGCGGGTGGGCCACGGGGGTCCCAGCATCCTCAGCCGCCTGGAAGAGGGCCTCGGGATCGGCAGCGGCCAGGAGCAGCTCACTGGGCTCCAGCTCGGGCTCAAGGTCAGGCGCAAGTGGGACCCCCAGCCGCAGGCTCAGCACCTCCACCTGCCTGCCCAGTGCATCCAGCCGCCGGCTCAGTGCTGCCGTCTCCACCCGCAGCTCTTCAGCTGCCCGGGCCACTGGCTCCATGGCTGAGGCTGCCGCCTCAGCCGCCTGGGTCACTGCCGCCCGGCCTGCCTCAGCCACTGCCCGCAGCTCCTCCAGCGCCAAGCCCAATCGCTCCTCAAGGGCTGCAGCCAGCTCAGACCCAGGCCCCGGTACCCCCGGCATGGTGATGGCAGGGGCTCTATGGTGGGGTGATGAGGGGCACAGTGGTAGGGACAGTTGCCTCTGGCTGGCAGTGTCAGAGTCTTTGCAGCTGGCCTGAGGGCGAAGGCAAGGGCAGTGGGCCTGCCCCGCCCCTGCTGGCCTCGCGGCCTCCCAGCCTGCTGCCCGCCAGCTGGGGCTGGGGCCCAAATAGAAACCTATTCTGGGCTCCCTGTGGAGGGGGTTGTGGGGGAGGGGTGGCCTGGCCAAGCAGGCAGACCGCCAGGCCTGGCCCTGGCCCTGCAGAGATCACAGACTGGCAGTACAGAACCTCTGCACGGGTCCTGAAGAACTACCTAGGCCATAGCCCCATGCCCCACAGATGGGGAAATCAAGGCAGGGAGCAAGGAATGGGTCTGCCTGGGCCACCATTTGCATTAACTATGAGGATCCAGTCTGCCAGGCTCCAGAGCCTGCACTCCTTTGCCTTTAGGCCATGCAGTTTTAGAAAGCCTTGAACAAATGGGGGAAATGGAGGCACAGAGAGGCAGGACTTTGAGCAATCTGCTATAAGAAGTGTCTCGTCCCTGGGGCACCTGAGTGGCTCAGTCGTTAAGCGTCTGCCTTCGGCTCAGGTCATGATCCCAGGGTCCTGGGATCAAGTCCCGCATCGGGCTCCCTGCTCTGCGGGAAGCCTGCTTCTCCCTCTCCCACTGCCTCTGCTTGTGTTCCCTCTTTCGCTGTGTCTCTCTCTGTCAAATAAATAAATAAAATCTTTAAAAAAAAAAAAAACTACTAAGAAGTGTCTCGTCCCTGACATAAATATTCTCTGGCTTCCCTGTGGCCCTGGGATCCAACCACAGATTTTGAGCACGTTTTAGGCACTTTCCTGCTTTCCCTTGATTCTAGATGGGGAAACTGAGGTGAGTTGGTGGTATCAGATGCAGAGCTCACGTATGTACCTCCCACCCACCCCAAGGGCCTCAGCCACCATCCCCTCACTCTCTTGGCAGAGAGCAGTTAGGTCCTGCTCTGCAGGGGAAAGGGTGCTTTCTTGCCCCCACCCTCTCCCAGTCACCCCCGAGAAGGCCCAAGTCTGGCTCTAGCCATCTCACCTCAACCAAAGTCCCATTCAGTCCCCAGTGCAGCCCAGAGGACATTACCTGGGCAGCCGGACAGCCCACTGGGGATCCCTTCCCCAGCTGAGCTCCCAGCCAGCTGATCCCAGGCTCGGGAATGAATAATGGAAGGGTGCAGCGTATTCAGTTCTCGTGGCACCTGCTAGGCTGCGGCCTCACCTGACCGGCACCCCCTGCCTGTCCTCCCATCAGTGTTTCTGCTCAGCCCCGCAGAGATGTTGACGCAGATGGTAATCACTAATCTCCAATCTCCTAAGAGGCCAGGCTGATCTTGGATGAGAAGATCAGCAGCTTTGCTTCTTGGGGCTGAGGCTCAGTTTGGAGTAGGAACAGGAGCACTGGGACTATCACAGGAAGAGGGGCAAGCCCTCACCACCCTCTCTGAACTTCCATTTTCCCATCTGTTCATTAGGAATGAACCAACCAATTTTTGGAGTAAGGACCAGAGATCAGCATGTGGGAAGCCTGAGGCCAGTACAGAGTAAGCTTCTGACACACCTAGTGGGCGATACAGACCCTAGTCTGCCCTTAGCTCTGCCACCAACTGGCTCTGGACTGTAGGTAGCCACCTGCTCTGTCTGGGCCTCAGTTTCCCTGTTTGTGCAATGGGGGAGGAGCGGAGCCAGAGGAACCCCGCTAGCCTACAGCCTGAAGCAGTCTATATAAGATTGATGGATCGTGAGGCTGGTGGGGTAAGGAGGGGCTCACCTTAATGCTGCAGCCTCCCCGGCTAGCAGGGGAGGCATGGCTGAAGCTGGTGACGTGAGTGACGCTACCCAGCTGGGCCAGGGTCCCAGGGCTGCTGATATGGGTGATGGTGCTCTTGCCCCCACTGCTGGTGCTGAGGAGGGTGGGAGGCGCCCGTAGCCCCAGCGTCAGTTCTGGAGGGGGAGAAGGGCTACTGTCAGATCAGCTGCAGTGAGGGCGATGCCAGCCAAGGTTAATGGCGCCCCTTGCTCCCAGCACACCCTTTGGAGAAACCCTGAACCCTGGCCACGGCACTTGCCCTATGTGCAGAGCTGGGTGGCTGGCTGCAGGCACTCATCCCCAGCACTGGGGAGACAGCAGGGAGGCCTACCTGCCCTCTGGTTGCCTGTGGGCAGCAGCACTCGGCTCGTGGATGCCTGGCCATGGCCATCCTTGATCTCGATGGTGAATGTGGTCTTCATACTGGCCCCTGGCTCGGCAGTGCCGACAGGCACGGGAAGCGGGGCACTGGGCTCCTCTGAGCGGGCCACGGGCCCCCCTGCTCTGTTTTCAAGGGGCCTGGCAGCCAAGCCCCGCCCCCTGGGGCCCTCCTCCTGGGGGCAGCTCTGAAGCTGGGCCAGGGGCCTGGCTGTTCCTCGTGGCTCCTTGCTGAAGCGGGAGGAGGTGGCACTGGGGCCCCGTGAGGAGGAGCCACTGGAAGAGGAGGCAGGGGTAGTGCTGATGTGGGAGGGGCCCAAGAGTCTTGTGGGGGTTGAGGGACCCAGGGCCAACCGGGGTGGACCATCCTGGAGCCCAGCAGCCATAGGAGAATCAGATGTGAACTTGCGCACACGATCCCGCACGGAGCTGGCCCGCTGGAATGGGGAAGGTCCACTGGCAGGGGTCGGGGGTTCTAGAAGGCATAAGAGGGCTATCAGTGACTTGGTGGGACAGGGACTGCCCTGAGTCTACAGTAGTGGGAACAGGTAGTACCTCGGTTCTGGGCTGGCTGGCGGGGGCTGAGCACGGACAGGGAGCGTTGGCAGGGACGGGGTCCAGCCAGGTCTGGCAGTTTAGAGAAATGGTGGTGGCCAGGTGGGGGAAGATAAAGGAGACGTGGATATGGGGGTTCCACCCCTCATAGTTCTCTCCTCCATACCACCTCAGCCTCCCAACCCCTTCCTGTACTCCAGCCTCCCCATCCCGTCTTGTACCTCCTTAGCTCCTGGCCTCCCCACTCAGCTGTATCTATCTTATAGGCTCCTCCTTCTCCACCCACACTGACCCTAGGATGACTTGGACACTCCTAGGGGCTGGGGCTAGGGCTTGGACTGGAGGAAGGGTGCCCAGATCCTCCCTGCCGATGGAGATGGGGGACACCCCCCCGGCCAGGACTGCCCATGGCCTCAGCTGGGAGATGGGCGCACTCCCTTATTGGGGAAAAGAATGTGCTTGAGGCCCGTTGCCTTTCAAGGCTGCGGGGAGGCCTCTGGCCTCAGGTTTCAGAGGGCTTGGGGGGCAGTGCAAGAACTTGAACACAGGTCTTTCTGACTCAGAGTTCTTGAACCCCTCTTGTTCCCAGCCTGAATTCTGATCCTACCAGCCCTGATATACTCTGTGGGATAGAGGTGTACTCCTCCCTCACGGAATAAGGTGCAAAAGTGCTCTGTGACATGGGACGTGGTCTGCAGACACAGGGAAGGGGCAGGGCCATCAGGCAGCTCAGCGGCAGGCAGTCCTCTCTACGGGCTCAGTGTTATCGCTGCCACTCAGAGCTGGGAGACCCTGAGCAAGTCTCTGGCCTCCCCAGTGGTGTGGTTGAGGATTAGGTGAGATCACAAGAGGACCAGGAGTGGCCTGATTCCTGCTCTGACTCTCCCTGCCTGTATGCTTATCACCTTCCAGCACCATGGTCTACCCCTCTGTAGAATGGGTGTGCAGTGAGGTCCCCTGTGGCACTGACTCCATGTGGTCTGGGGATGGGTACCTGTGCTCACCTGCCCATCTTCTTGGATGATGACGAGGAGAAGGTCTTGGTTTGCACCATGGTGCTGCTGCTACCATCTACAAGAAAGGGGAAGAGGAGCAGCGTGAGGGCTTCAGCTGGACGTCAGGACATAGGGCAGGGGGCTGTTGAGGGGGGGATGGTGGTAGCCACAGGCAGAGAAGAGAAAGTGACTGCTGGACAGAGAGACACACAGATGAAGGTACGGAGAGAGAGCTTGAGGAAGAGTCTGAGGAGGTGGGCAGGCAGGCAGGCACAGGGCGACACCAGGCGGCCTTACTCTCCGAGCGCCTCACAAAACTGGACTCCACTGTGGTGGTGCGGGCCGTCCGTGTGCCATCATCTGGAGGGGCAGGGGATGAGAGGAAGAATGTGAGGCATGGGGCCAGTGGGGTGGCTATATTCCCACCTGGAGCCCCGAGCCCTGCTTGGCCCCCTTACTGGAGTGGACGAGCCGCTCAGTCTTGGTGACAGTGCTGACAGCTGAGCCATCGGCTGCCCTCTGGCTGTGCTGCGTGGTGGTCTCAGTGGCTGTGTTGCCACGGCCCTCCCCTGGCCGGGCCCGTGCCTCTTGCAGCCGCCGTTCCCGTTCCTTGTCCCGCTGGTCTGGGCGGGGGTGGGGGGATGCCCCATGCATGCCCAGAAGGGCCACCCATCACCCACACAGCACATATGCATGGGCACACAGGGCACACAAGATGGGGTGGAGGGCAACTTGTTAGAAATACTGAAGACACAGGGGGCAAGGGCCCTCTCTAGGAGTAGCTGAGGGTGAGGGGAAAGCTATAACTTGGCGGGGGTGGGGGCGGGGTGTGGTGTGTGGCAATGGACTCAGGCAGAAACGGGGAATATGGACTAGCTAAACTCAAAGGGGAAGTATTTGGATCCAAGAAGGGAGTTTCTGTGGGAATGAGTAGCTTATTCCAGAGTGAATATGCAGATCTAGGGAGGAAGTAGCAGAGTTCAGGGAAGAAGCTGAGTGAGGCTAGTAGCTGAGTGGGTCTTTAAATGGGTCTTAGGTGGGAAAAGAGCAGCTGGAGGAAGAAATATCTAGATCCAAGGAGGGAGTAATTGGAGGTACCTGAGAAGTAATTCAATACAGGGAAAGAGTGGTCAGGAGAGAAACTGGCAAAAGGGGTAAGTGGACCTAAAGAAGTAGGTGGGTGGGCACAGGGGCTAGGTGGTCATCAGTGGGGCCTGGAGGAAGCAGTCAGATTCAGAGAGTATCTAGAGCAGCAAATGAATCTAGAATCTGAGGGAAAGAATAGCTGGGTCCAGGAAGTGCTCAGGGAAGGGGAAGCTGGGTGGGGGGCAGAGGCTATGGTGGTCATCAGTGGCTCTCAAGGAGAGAAAAGCAGCTGGGGGAAGGAGTATTTGGATTCAGGGTAGGAGTAGTCGGCAGCACTTGGGGAAGCAATGGGATCCAAGGGGGAGTAGCTAGGAAAGGGAGTAACTAGGTCTAGGAAGGAGAGGAGAAGCTGGTTGGGGATGGTATAACTGGGGTAGCCAGGGGGAAAGAAGGGGCCAGGGAAGGGAGAAGCTGGATCCAGGGGGAAGGAGGCAAGGGAACATCTGGGGCTAGAGAAGAAGCTGGGTAGGGCAGTTTACTGAACTAGAGTGTCCATGAATGGACCCCAGCGTAAGGGGAGCAGCCGGGCGATGGAGCAGCTGAATCTGGAGTGGGGCAAGTGGCTCTCTACCTCTCTTCTTTTGTCGGAGCTCACGTAGTGCAGCCCGGATGAGCTTCCGTTCCTCATACTCTGTCGTCTGATCCAGCTGCAGATAGAACCCGTCGTTACCCACCTGCTGGCTGCTGGTTCCTGCCCCCTGCCGACCCCTAGTCCACCAGATCTGGCCATACCATCTTGTCCAGGATGCTTTCGTCCTCGATGGCCATCAGCTCCTCAGCGCTCAGCGGAGCCCGCCTCTCTGGTGCTTTGTCCACCCGGGTTTGCTCGGCGCCATTAGCCACTTCGACTGCTGCAGCAGGGGGCTCTGCTGGCTCTGGCTCCATCTGGAGGGTGGGGACAGGGCATGGACTTTAAGGAGGGGTGTAGAGGAAACCAACCATGCCCCCAGTGGACAGGGGACCAGGCCCTGGGTCTGCGGGCACAGCCTTGGAAATATCCACCAACTGGTCAGACTGCCTGCTCAAGGATGGTCATAGTGCGGTCAGACTCAGGGAAGAGGCACCGACAGCCTTGCCATAGGGCTTCCCATCTACCCGGAATGGTGTTAATACCATGCAGTGCCAATACTGGTGATTTTCATTTGATGTTAAGCATTGGATAAACACTAGGGATTTTACTGTCCCTATTTAGCATAAGGGAAAACTGAGGCTCAGGGTAGCTGCATGACTTGCTCACAGTCCTTCCGTAAGTGTGATGTAGCCTGGGGTCTGAGCTGAAGGTAGCTTAACTCCTGAACCTCAGTTCTTTCTGCTGCTTCATTCCCAGCCCCCTCCCACTGTGCTCTGTCCTGGCAGTTCCCAAGGCCTGGGTCCTCCTGGGCCAGTGCCCAGGCAGCACATGCCACACACACACACACACACACACACACACACACACACGCCCTTGCACACGACCACACACACACACACACACACACACACACACACAACCTTGGGCCAGGTGCCCTTATGCAGTGAGCACTCTCCACATCTGTGCATGGCAGCCCC